AGCATCCAGTGCATGGGTTATCTTCTAAACTCTCTCTTCCATCATTGAATAAAGGGGCCCGTTTAACAACTATTCTATATTCTGGTGCATGGGCCCCATAAACTTTTTCGAGTTTGTTGGATATCTCAGTTAATGGATTTCAAAGCATAGTATGAGTTTTAATATATGCTCTATATTAAAAATTATTCATTTTATAAAGTTTTCTTTAAAAGTGCTTTTACTAAAAAAATTTTATTATATAAGTATTATATAATAAAAAATGTAACCAAAAGAGAAATGATTTTAAAATGATTCTCTTTAAAATGATATATAATAATGACATTAAATTTGTTTTAATACATGAGTTTTTTAATAAGTTGAAAGAACTTTCCTGACGTCCGAAGTATTTGTGGGTATGAAAGATATTCAAAAAAATTTAATAGCTGTTCAAAATAGTTTTAAATTTAGATAAGGTTTGATTTAGCATGAATAGATCTCAACATTCTTAGTCTCAAGGTTTAAAGCTAACTGTATTTAATCAAGTTAAAGGCTTGATTAAATACAGTATCATTTAAACTTTCAGGTAAGTTTTCAATATTGTTATCATTTATAGAATTTTCACAAGTAGCAGTTTCGCATAGTTTAAAATCATTTCAATAAAAACAATTAAAATCTTCTGTTTGCATTACAGCTTTAAAACTAGGAATCTAAGAATGTTGAGATTAACAACTATTCATGCTGTTATTAAACAATTTAATTTACAAATCTTTTTTTAAAACTTTTCATCAACATCAATTTTCTCATAGTAGTAATAAATCAACTTTAAAAATTTAAATTGCATTAGGGTTTTCAAAAATTTTCAAAAATTAAACAAAAGCTTTATATTAAAAATCAAAAACAATTTTGACTGAAACTATTTTAAAAAGTTATACCAGGTTATTCAAGAATCTCAGGAAAAGTAATAATAAAATAAAATAACCTGAAAAAAATATAAATCAAACTAAAAATGCACTTTGCATTTACTAAAAGAAATTACTAGTATCACAAAATCATCCCACAATTTTTGCTTAAAGCTATTAAATGATAATATTTTTCTTGATTAAAAATTTTTTTAAACTGAATTTGTTAAATATTTTGTGCCTGTAGGACTCCTGGTAAAATATTTTTAAATCTTAAAAGTTAAATAAATCTCTTTATATTAATGCTGAACTTAATAGTAATGCTGTTAGTAGTGCCCTTTACGAGCTTATTTGACACGGAAAAAAAAATCTGAGTTGACCCTTAAGTCAGTTCTTGAGAAAACCGTAATATACATGTTAAAGCTTATGAACATGGGATTCCAAAAATGTAAAAATTTAAATCATCTGCCTTTGTCCTAGAAAGAAAATCAATTTTGAAAATTTCTGTTATTGTACAAATATTTGAAATGACAGCATGCCCAAAATTTTGCATTTTTTCATTATTCATAATGAAATAATACAAGCAACATATATCAAAATACTTTAATTCTACATGACTTGATGTGGAAACTCTCTTTTAGAATTCTTTTCTCCTTTAAAGATTTTCAAATTTCATGAAACATTTTTTCTCTAATGCTGAATATTCTTAGGTAATTCCTTGCGTTGGCTGAAACTCACATCAAAAGTTCTGGCTGTTGAAATCAACAAGGCACATAAGAAGCCTTTTTCCATATTCTGGATGACTTATTGAGCGATTGTATCTTTCCCAATGTAAATTAAAACAGTGGTGTATTGTTTCCGTTGTTTGTTTGCTATAAATTCCAAAGGGCATCTTTTTCTGTTTGACAAAGTCTTTAACATGAAAAAATACTGCATGAACTTTTGGTGTGATTTTTTCAATGGGCAAGGATTGAAAGGAATTCTTGAAAGCATCTATTATTTCTTCAAATTGCACATGCAATTTGTCGCCAAAACAAAATGATACCACATCAGCAAATTTTTGCAAGGTATCAATGATGGGAAAAACTTGAGAAGCATTGTCTTTTTTAGCAATAGTTAGCAAAAGATCCAGGTTTTTTATCAGCTTTTGCAGTCATTGTCTGCAAAATGACCCCCATGAAAGGGCTGTTGCTTTATGTGTAAAACTTGAAGCCAATCTTCTACTTTTGGCTATACATCTTTAAGAATCTCGAAAAGACGATTCACAAAACCAAGTAGAAGATGCAACTCCATGATCCATTACCAAAGAAGAATCGCCAAGAGAAAGAATAGGCTGATGAATTACATTTCCAAACTTCTTGGCATTTTTGGTGTTTGAATTTGCTGCAGAGAAGGCATGGAATGAATCTTTCAAAGAGCCAAATGTTTTTGGAGTCCCACAGTTTGCAAGATTTGAGCTTTCAGCAGTACACCATGTGCATGGATGGGAAGAAGAATGGGCCTGCAGGCCACATAAAATGTTAGCCAATTTCATATCACATGAGATGATGAATTTCACATCCTGGATGTCAAGAAGAAAAAGAATGAGCCTTGTATTTGTATAATTTTCTTGAACACCTTCAGCCACAGCCACAAGAAGTTGTCTTTTCACACTAGTAGCTTTTGATGTTTGGCATGTAAGCAATTGTTTGCTGGGAGGTGAATAGTCATTGTGCTGTGGTTCCAATTCGGAAACTCCAAGACAAACTTTTAAAAATCCTCCACCCCCATCAATCCCTAATTTAACTATATGGTTTGAAAAAATCTTGCGTGACAAAAGTAGATCTTCAATTAGAGAGTTCAGGCTTTTACAATGTGCAACCACATGATTTGAGTTTGTTTTGTCAGAGTTTGTAAATGCCATTGCTGTTTGAGTGAAGCTGTCCTCAAGATTTTTATCAAGATCTTGAAATTTTTTAAATATGTAAGGCTCCAAAACTTTGGTTGTGCTAAGATTGTTGATTGTTTGTGCTAGCTTTCTGATACCATTGTTAGATAAGCCTGTATTTATTTGCATCTGAGCAAGATCTTTTGCTGTTTCAACTGGTTGATCCTTGAACAGCTGTTTTGCACTTTATGGTCCTAAAATACAACAAAGGTTATCATTTGTTATCCTAAATAAAAAGATAAGTTAAAATATTTTGTTACCAGGAATTATATGTAATGTTTGTCCACGCTTGTGAAAGTCGAATGGTTCCATGAGGAGAAGCTTCCTTGTTTGTGTTTGTTGATGATGCAATATGCTCTGCAACTTTACCATCATTTATCATTTGCAGCTAGTGATATCGTCGGTTATCCGTTTCAAAAACCGGATAACAGTTCTCATCAATTTGCGGTTAACCGACTATTCGGTAGATTAGTGACGCTTTCTGAATACAGGATCTTATAAGTTTCAAAGAAGGTAGCGTTTTGAACTAGTTTTTTAAAAATTAATGTTAAAGTTACATTTTTAAGACAGCTAGTGAATACAGTCCTATATTATATATTTATAACAAAACATGGAAAAAGATATATATTTTTTTATATTTTAATATACTTTTTTAATAATATAATTAAAAAAGGTAGGAATAATGCACAAGTATAGTTTAAATGTTTGGATGATTTAAAATCATTCTCTCATTAAAAAAAAATTAGATATTATGAAGTAAATTTTTTTAGCGTGTATTTTAAAAACTCATTGTTATGCGGACATAGATGGAAACATAGATAAACTTGAATGTTCTCAAAACAACTTGTTGCGGAAAGATAATATAAAGAATATTTGCTATCACCGCCAAATCTACCAATAAAACAAATTCTATTGGTTCAAAAAATACGCTGAATAAGCGAATTAGAGTTCCAGAATATTTTGAAGAAACTTTCTTAAAAATGTATTGCTTAAGTTGCTAAAGTAATAAATAAATCTTGAAGATTTCTATTGTAAATTGTTTTAAGAATATATTATCAAACAAAACTGATTAAATTAACATTTATATTAATAAAAGAAATATATTATAATCTTTGATAAATTTACATTTGTCAAACAATAATCGTCATAATTACGTTGTTACTTTCTATAAAATTTCGTAAAATTTTCAAGTCGGTTTTTGATATTCGAAAATAGATATTTGATATTCGAACAAAATCCGGTTAACCGCAAAACCGGATAACCGGCGAAATCACTATTTGCAGCTAAATATTTAATGTTCTTTCTAAATTTTGCAGTAGGGCATTGATGTGGTAGCCCCATACCAATCAGGGTCAGACATTTTGAGCACCTTCTGTCTGATTTTTTTTCTTTCTATTTTTTTGGTTTCAAGAGGGTGTTTTTCTGTCAATTTCAAACGGCCAACACAGCAAATTAAGTATTCACAAGGATTTACTCTTGCGGGGATTTTAACATTTATCCTTTCAAACTGATAAAGTTGTGGCAGTTCAACTTGATGACCTTCATAACGTTTTCTCAAAGAAGTCCTGCATGTTTCACAAATGCCTTGAGAACTCCTAATAGTTCTCAAAATGCCTCAAGAACTCATAATAGTTCATAAAATGTCTTGAGAACTCACAATAGTCATAATAGTTAAAATTAAAAAATAAAAAATTCAGAAAAATGAACTTCATAAGCTAAATTTTGTTAACCTTTAAATAACTTAATAGAAATTAGAAATCAAATACATTCTCCTGACAATCTATCATCGTATAAAAGCTTTTTATTTCATAGGAGGAACTTTTTTTTTACCGATATCTTAATAATTTTTAGATTTATATATCTTACTTATAACTCTTTTGTTTTTAAATTGAAATTAATATTAAAGCTTTACTTACGAATCTTATGATTTTCGTTCAAACCACACAACGCTCATATAATGCTCTACTTTTTTCTCTTTGCAACTCCCTCCTCCTCGCCTCCTCTTTTGTAAATCTTTCTGCTTTTAGATAAAGGATATATGAAAAACATATTCAGCAAATAAAAAATGAATTCAGCAAGTCTTTTTTATAAAACCTTAAAATTTCTTAAAATAAAAAATTTAATTGTTTAAAATATAAAATTCACAATGCAATTTATAGTAATATGGAAGGTATATAAAAAGTTATTTTTTTTAGGCTGTAACAAGTATTGATGATTTTGAAACTTGCATATCTATACTTGAACCAAATGATTGGGATTTAGACGTATGTTATTCAAAGTTTTTGTTTTGTTTAATTTTTTTAAGAAGCATGAATAATGTTTTGGTGTCATTAATTAGTTTTGCTAATTATTGAATTATTTTTAAATGACATATATAGCAAATAATTTTTGTAATAAGACAAGATTGTTTTTTTGTAAAAAATGAACATTAAAATCAAGATGGCTTTTAAATGCATTGAACAACAAGCTAACCAGACGTGTCTATTATCTTCATATGGAGATAATAGGCATCCTTTGGCTGTCCATCTTCACACTATCTGTATGAAGATGGACAGCCAAAGCTTTGTATTTGACTGATGACCTCTTTCTTCATAATAAAAAATTTAAATTCAGACCAATACATAGTGTACTTGAGCTTGCTGATCTGATGTTGTAAACTTACAAGACCATGGAAAAGTTACACAAAGTTTTTCAGAGGACATCTTATACAAGGAATTCTTAATGAAGTTGGAATTGCTAGAAATAAGAAAATCATCATTAATTTCATATTATTTAGTAAAACTTATCGTACAATAATGAAGAATCTTTACAGACATTCGCATGTCATTTAAGCAGCTCAAGACTGCAAGTTTAGGTCTTCTGAGAGAGATTTAATGATAGAGCTAATCTGCGTGACATTCTTCAGGGAGATTAGGTGTTGAGTTTGACAACTGTGCGAAGGCTGCATCCAAAATTGCTCAAACTATATCTGTTAAGGAAGAAGTAAGTGTAAGTTTCTTGACAACTGCAAATGAAATAACAAGTCATATACAAGGCAAGTGGTGTTACAATTGTGAATCATTTACTCACTTTATATGTGAATGTACTTCTTTTTGTAAGAAATGCTCCCATAAACATACTGTAAAAGACTGCTACAAACATTAACGAAACCAGGAAAATTTAAATGGGACATGTTTGCATTAGATATCTGTGCAAGATCTAACACCAAAACAATACTATCTACTATCAACTTAAGAAGCAGATAAAAAGCTACATGTGGTTGCTTGCAATCAATCATTAGGAAAAATGTTACTGCTGTCTGATTATAAACTGGTTAGTGTAGTAGATGTAGTATGTGGTAATGGTGTAGTGGTAAAGTGCTCGCTTCATATACGAGAGGCACTTAACTTGTTTTTCCACAAAGTGCCCTTGTTCATAAAGGTTTGTGTTTCGTAGTATAGAGTTGAGAGAGGGCTATAACCACAAGTAGACTCCTCATCTGTAGTGGCCTTTTCTGCCTTGGGGAAGCGAATTACAAATAAAAAAAAAACAAATGGTATTGCAACAATGGACTAAATAATTAGGCGTGAAGAAGTTAGTGTTAAAATACACAACATAATGATTGGGTGCTTGGTGGATGCGTTGGTTTTAAGTGTCAATAAAGTAATGAACAAGTATGATATGATTATGAGTATGGGTTTAATAAAGGTGTGATGAATTAAAAATTGGCTCTGAAAAATTTTAATTCTGTAATTCCTTAATTAATTTTTTTACCCTGTATTGCAACAATTAAAATTAGAACAAGAAAAGCTTATATTGATGGTGAAAATGGATTGAAAGTTGGAAATGGGAAAGCTTGAAAAACAGAACAAGTCAATATAACGTACCTGATAAATAGTGTGAGGCTTTCAATAACGAAATAAATAAATGGATCATAGAAGGCATACTCATCAAGTATGTAAATAATTTACATTAGAATCGATATAACTGCAATAATTTTTTTTTTTTAAATTTGATTCAAAAGAAAACATATTTTTAACTCTTTTTAATTTATTGCAAAAGTAACTCTTTTTTTTTTGAATTTATTTTTAGAAAAAGTAAAACTAATAATGATAATGATTTATCAACAAAGTTATTCATTGAACATCGTCTAATGTCAAAGCCCGCTATTCTCAGGTCATGAAATCTCGTATTTCATCACAAAAGTTAGGCTCTTGTAACTTCTGGAGAATCTTTAAAGGGATCCCAAACTCCCAACACATGTTGTGTTCATAATAAAGATAATGTTAAATAAAAGGTTTGAACCAAGTTTTTTTGATTAAAAATAAATAATGAATGCATACCAAGAAAAACTAATGTTGTTGTTTTAGCCGAAGCTCGCCTTCTCCATTTTTTTCAATAACTTGGAGTCTTTAAATTATACGTTGCAATCTACAGACTTTGGCGATTCCTTTGAAGCGCGTTTAATTCATAAAAGCTTTAGCATTTGACGTCATGGTAGGTTTTTAACAAAAGAAAAGTGTAATTGAACAAAGCTGCGTTTTTCTACTTTAATTCAAAAAGTACGATGTAGTAATTTTTTAACATACAGAAAAACAACTTTTACAACAAATTTTTGTAAAAATCAAAAATAATAAAAGCTTTTTATTTCATAGGAGGAACTTTTTTTTTACGGATATCTTAATAATTTTTAGATATATATATCTTACTTATAACTCTTTTGTTTTTAAATTGAAATAAATATTAAAGCTTTACTTACAAATCTTATGATTTTCGTATGAGTGTTTTACATTATATAGAACGTTATGTATACGGTTTCTTGTTTTTGTGCAAGAGAGCGCAGTATTATATATTCTGAATCTTACTTATTTTTATTTAAATAATGGGAACTTTTTTCTAACTTCTGGTTATTTTTACGCTATGATATTTTTTGTTTTTCCGTCGAAAAAAAATATTTATTAACAATTAATTTCATAAACTGACAGTATTAGAGATATTTGATGAATTTGTTAACTTTTTTTATTATAAAAATTTTTTGATTACGCTGATTTATTTTAAATTGTTAAATTTGCTGAATTGGATACGGATAAAAAGGAAATATCATTTTTTACATTTTATTTACATTTTATGTTTGATAATGAAACTTTTAAAATGTCGGCAACTCCATACCAATTAGAACCTGTTAAGGTTATAAAAAAAAATTACAAGAATATAATAAACAATACAGTTGACAGTAGTATCACAGGCCTTGCGATAAAGCGTCGGGCAATGTGAATTTTACATCGTCCAAGAGCGATTTTACGTGTAGCTATGGCTATTTGCGTTGAGCAAAAATTTTTTTGTTTGAGTATATTTAAAGATATTTTTGGGCGGAATTTTAATGAAGTAATTAACGATTATTTTAACATTTAATAAAGTATTTTAAAAACCGCGAGCATTTGATATAAAAGTTTGAATTACAAAAAAATTAAATATGCTCATTATTTACAAGTAGAAAAAATTCAGATTAAAAAAAAAGTTTAAATCTTTTTAAGCTAACATTTTAATAAAATTTTTCAGCAATAGCAAAGTTGTAGATAAAATTGAACAAAAATACTTTCTTCTAGTTTAAGATTTAGTTTAAGATATATATTATTTAGTTTAATATATATATATATATATATATATATATATATATATATATATATATATATATATATATCTTTTTAAGCTAACATTTTAATAAAATTTTTCAGCAATAGCAAAGTTGTAGATAAAATTGAACAAAAATACTTTCTTCTAGTTTAAGATTTAGTTTAAGAGATATATTATTTAGTTTAATATATATATATATATATATATATATATATATATATATATATATATATATATATATATATATATATATATATATATATATATAAAATATATATATATATATATATATATATAAATATATATATATATATATATATATAAATATATATATATATATATATATATAAATATATATATATATATATATATATATATATATATATATATATATATATATATATATATATATATATATATATATATATATATATATATTGTCTGATGAGTCTTTATTGATGAAACACAGTGTTAAATGTGAAAAAATTTTGCAAAGTGATTTTCTACTTTAACTTAAATAATTATTTTACGGGGGTTTGTTAGGTTTTAAAATTATTCCATAGATTTAAAAATATCTATTAACTGTTAGACCTATTTAAAGTATATAAGAGTAATTTCGAGGAAACATTTTAAAAATTGGTAAGCGCAAATAAAATAAAAATAAAAAGAATTAATATTAAAACGTATTCTACTTGATTCAATAAAAAAGTACAGTTATTAAAATTTTTGTAAAAAGTAACTCAAAAAAAATTACTTAAATAATAACAATCGCTTTTTTGTTAAAAGTTACCGAAACTCAACGAAGTGTGCTCAAAAACAACTGCTGAAAAATAGAACGTCAATAGTTTGATAAGTTTATATAACCTGGTTTTGTTACCCGGGTTCTACCGATGTAAAGCGAATTTCCACAAACACCCTGAAAAAAGCTCAATAAACGTAAAAAATAAAATAAAAATTAATTTGCAACCTGTAATCATAAGCCATTTCATAAAACTTAAAATATAAATTTAATATCTAAATGAGGACATATATAAAACGTGCATTATTTTTTTTTCTTAAAAAAAAAGAAAAAGTTGTTTTACTACTACTGCTAGTGCAAGTAGATTTTATTTTACTAGAAATAAAAATCCTTGTAAACATTAAAAATCTATTCAAAATGTTCGTTTAAGTTTTTTAGTAATACGAGTGATTGTGCTTATCAACCGCTTTATGAAAATAAATAAAAATAAATAAATAAAAAAAAATATAAAATCGCTGGTAAAAATATTAGCTCATATTAATTAAAAACTGTGCAATAGCACAGTTTTTAATTGTACAATATTAAAATTTCCAGTTTATTACTCGCTGACTTTTTATAAAGAAAAATTAATTATTTGAAAAACTTTAAATTACATATTTGAGAAAAAAAAATCAAATATTAGTATATTTTATAATCTTTTTTAAATGTTTAGCTATAATGTTTTTTATTCGTTTAGTATAGACAAAACGTGTCAAACATCGATAAAATAAACAAATGTTTTTACATTTTAAAAAAAGAAACATTCCAAAACATTTTTAAATAATAACATTTCCACATTAATGATTTAAAGTAGTTTTGCAGTAATTAAGTAAATTGGTGCAGTTAATGTCGATAAATTTGAAAAGCAAATAAAAAGAATTTAATGACGTCAAAAATCACGTCGTGCTTATGCGTCGTGCAGTTTTTATTCATCACAAGGCCTGGTATCAGATATGAAAGTTCGTGAAAGGATATGTGAGATCCTGATTTTGCATTAAAAGTACAATTAATAGCTACACAAGTTGACCTTATAAATTTTGATTATTAGTTTACTGTTCAATATTTTATAACCATCAAATAAAAAGCATGAAGTTTGTGTATTTTCGCCCGTTTTATACAACCAATATTTAACAAAAATACAGAAAAACTATTATTATATAACACAATAATTAACACATTAATTAATGGCAATAATTCAAGATAAATTGTAATTTAAATTGTCAAAATGTTATAACGCGCGTTAAAAAACATTATATTTGGTATTTCCCAATTTGTATCGTATTTGGCATTTGTCTCTTAACATGAAAAATTAAAAAAAATTTTAAACACAATAAATACAATTCAAGCAATTTTCTCTTCCAATTTTCATTTATTCAAAGAAAAGTTAAACTTTTATTTCTCTTATCTAAAAAACGAACGAGTGATGTAGAAAAAACAAATATTCTATACAACTCTTATTCATTCGAAGTTTAATTAAACGAAATTTTTCTTTCTCTTTTGTTCTACTCTTTTATAAAAAGAGCGAGCGATGAAATAAAAACTTTTCTTTCTTAACATAAATTTATACTTTGAGATAAAATTAAATTAGAAATAAAGCAACAATGAACAAAGCAACCAACATATTAATCTGGGACTATTTTTTGATATTAATGAGAATAATCAACATAAACAACATTACCAACAACAATTATCAAGTAAACAACACAATATCACATAATTTTAGGGGCTTTTTATTTTTATTGCTTAGTCGATCTAAATAATAAGTGAATTTAGTTAATATTTCAATATTTACAGTTGCAATATAATAAAGAAATGATGTTTAATGTTGAACTTTTTATTTAATTATTTATTTTTTACCTACATTTGTTATAAAAAACTTTCAAACCCCCGTCATTAAAATAATTTGTTTTAAATATATTTCAAAGTAATTATTCAAACTAATTTTTTTCACTTGACTTCCCGAACTTCATGCAAAGCAAATTGAGACGAAATATTGTCTAACCAAATAAAAATGCTGTTACTAATTTTAGGGTAATTAATGTAAAACAATTTTTTATCAGAGTCTTGATTGAGATAATAAATATTCATAATTTATAAACATTAAATATATGGCGCAATAACAATTTATAGCAACGACCCAGCATAAAATATTTGCGGTTTTTAATATCTTTTTAAATGTTAAAAATAGAAAGGAAAAAAAAACTTAACAAATAATCAAAAATAGTTCGAATAAAAATAAATAAAAATATTTCCAGAGTTTCATTTGTTAAAAGTCTACCGTGACGTCAAATACTAAAACTTTTATGAATTAAACACGCTTCAAAGGAATTGCCAAAGTCTGTAGATTGCGACGTATAATTTAAAGACTCCGAGTAATTGAAAAAAATGAAGAAGGCGAGCTTCGGCTAAAACAACAACGTTAGTTTTTCTCGGTATTCATTCATTATTTATTTTTAATCAAAAAAACTTGATTCAAACTTTTTTTCTAACATTATCTTTAATATGAACACAACAGTGTTGGAAGTTTGGGATCCCTTTAGTAGTATCAATAATAAGGGTAAGTCTGTAATCCCATCCCTTTTGTATGGTTCAGACTTTGTCACCTCACCTAAAGACAAAGGTGAATTGTTTGCTAAGAACTTTTCATCAATATCATCTCTTGATTCCACTACTTGCGTTCTACCTGATATAGCTGTCAAATAGGTTGATCCATTGCTTGACATTGGTATCACTCCAGCTTCTGTATCTAAAGTGATTTCCTGCTTAGACTCTTCTACAGCTTGTGGCCCGGACAACATACCTGTTATAGTCTTGCAAAAATGTTCTCCAGAGATGTTGTCTATCCTTTCAAAACTATTCAACATTTCTAAAGTGTTTGATAAAGTATTGGTCTTCTCCATAAGCTATCAACTTACGGTGTATCTGGAAACATCCTTAAGATTATTGAATCCTTCCTTTCCAATCGTAGTATAAAAGTAGTCCTTGATGGACAGCACTCTTCTTATTCTGTAACCTCAGGGGTTCCTCAAGGTTCAATCTTGGCCCTATACTCTTTTTAATTTACATTAACGATCTTCCGGATATTCTCACATCTAAGGTGGCATTGTTCGCTGATGATATTACCATTTATTCTTGTCATGATAAGAAGCCAACTCTTTCTGATTACTTGGAGGGGGCATTTGAGCTTTAAAAGAATCTCACTTCTGCTACAGCATGGGGCTCAAAGTGGCTGGTAAACTTTAATTCAGATAAAACTCAATTTTTTTCAGCCAATTGTTAGCGCAATAATTTAGATCTTCCTATATTTACGAACAGTAATGTACTTGATAAGTCATCTACCCTTCATCTTCTAAGATTAACACTTACTTCTGATCTTTCTTGGAAACCATATATTAATCTGTTGCAAAATTAGCATCTGCTAAAGTTGCATCTCTCTATGGAGCTCAACACTTTCTTACTCTGGATCCTATTCTCTCTCTCTCTATAAATCTCAAATACGACCTTGTATGGAATACTGTTGCCATATCTGGGGCGGATTGTCTAATGATGCCCTATTTTTTTAGACAAGTTGCAAAAGCGCATTGTAAACATAGTTGGACCTGTTCTTGCAGCCAACCTTCAACCATTATCACATTGTTGTAATGTTGCTTCTCTTTCTCTTTTCTACAAATACTATAATGGGCACTGCTGTAAAGAGATAGCATTTCTTGTGCCATCTACTAAAATTCACTCTCATGTTACTCGTCATTCAATTAAGTCTCATCCTTTTTCTGTTACTGTTCCTAAGTGCTCCAAAAACTCTAAATCATCTAGTTTTTTTCCTTAAACATCAGTTCTTTGGAATTCGCTTCCTTTATTTTGCTTTCCTGATTCATATAATTTGCAATCTTTTATGTCATCTGTCAATCGTTATCTAGCTCTACCATCTTCATCTTTTCTCTTCCAGTAACTTCCAACACTAATTAGTGGTTGCCAATGGTTTCTAACACTAATTAGATGTTTAAAAAAAAAAAATCTTGAGTCATTTGTGATTTAAAAAGGGCCTAACCTACAAGCAATGTTCTGAAAAATATCAAATATCAATAAGCTGTGCTAGAAAGATTTGTATATTTTTAAACTAGTTCTGCTGATACTCAAAAACTTTCTTTAGGAAAGTAAACCCGACATTAGTGGTATAAGCAAAAAAAAAGTTTTTTTCCTTTATAAAAATTAAAAAAATGCATTTTTACAAAAAAAAAAATTTTTTTTGTAAAAATGCATCTGAATTAGTTTATTTTGTGAAAAATTTAAGTATTGATTTTTTTTACCTTAAGGCCTTTTGAAAAATGGCTGCAGAAAAACTGCTTTTTTTTCTTAGTTTAAGTTTAGCTTAGTGTTTTTTTTTTTCAGCGCACTTCTGAAATGTTTAAATCATCAAAACATCTAAATAGTCGTGGTCAAATTGTCAACAAAAAAATATTATTTGTGTGGTCAGCAATAGTGTTTGATCACACTGTTCAAGCCTGATATATCTGTGTGTGTGTATATATATATATATATATATATATATATATATATATATATATATATATATATATATATATATATATATATATATATATATATATATATATATATATATATATTATATTATATTATATTTGAGTATAAATCTTTTAATTTATTGTAGAGAGCACTCACATGTGTATTTAATGAAGACGATATTCACGCTCAAAGCATGTATGTGATCAGTTATTTTTTATTTATTTAAATAAATAAATGCATAGGTTTACCCTTCAGCTGCTGTTTTGCCAGAATAATGGAAAAAGTTGGCAAAATAATTGCTCAGCCATGCAACAAATTATTATATTAATAAAATTTTTAATATTAATGTTCAATAGATTTTAATTTAACATTCAAGAGTTTTTTGGTGGAATAGTTCACCATTTATCATTAAATAAGATTTTAGTTTTTTTGTCATGGATGATATTTGGAAGTATATTCTAAAATTTAGGACCATAGTGGTATAATGCTTGATTACCAAAATGATTACTGCATTTTGTTTCCTTTTATATTAGTGTTCTTTCTGACATAGAGTAGTGAATTAAATAGCATAATGGCGTTGGTGTTTCCAGAAGAATAGATTTGTGCATTATTAAAAAGACCTTGAAAAAGACTTTTTTTCTAATTTTCAGCCAACGCAAATTGTTAAATTCCTGGTTGCTTACATGATTTTCTATTCTAGTTTTGAATACTAGTCTTGCTGCTCAATTTTAAACAGGCTGCAATTTTTCTAAATTGTGTCTTTTCAATTCCAATGCAGAGGAAGTTGCAATAATCTAGCTTTGCAAATATCATTGAGCATGTTATGGTGCACAAATCTTTGTTCCATAAGACAATTTTATTTATTTGTGTTTTTAAAGATAATTGATTGTCAAGTATCACACCTAAACCTTTTTTGCTGAGTCAGCAAATCTAATTCATTCTTTGTTAACAAAAGAACCTTTATTAATATCTTTTTTAAAAGCTAGGTGGTGCCATAATTAATATTTTTGTTTCCAATTGGTTAGTACATAAGAATGATTTATTTATCCATTTAGATATGTATTTAAGATATTTATGGAAAAATATTTATGGTTTAAATTGAAAATATGCCTTAATTAGGGTTGTTCACTTTTGCAAAAGTTGAGTTTTCGATTAAAAAAAAAACTTTCGAAACTCTATATTTTGTTTCAGTAAGTTTAAAACGATTTCTAATTAATTGATTTTGAACCGAAATAAATTTCGCTTTACAAAATTTATGATATTCTATCGATACATGATATACAAGTGTCAAAATCCTAAAAAATAGCTCTAAAATTGTTTTTCACTTTCAAAATTTGAAAGTTGTATTGAAACATATTTACATTATCGAAAATTTATAGAAACAGTTTTTCACTTTTGAAACTATAATTTGTATCGAAATATTTTTATATTATCGAAGTTCTATAAATGGCACCGAAACATTTTATCACTTTCAAATCTCTATAATTTGTATTTAAAATTTTTTATCCGATCGAAATTTTAAAAATGGCATCAAAGCAAAGTTTCATTTTTGAATCTATTATTTGCATTGAAATATTTTGATATTATCGAAATCATAAAATTGATGTCGAAACAATTTTTTACTTTCAAAATTCTTAAAATCACTTCAAACTATTTATTTTATTACATTAATTCTGAAAACTGCTTTCAAATGAATATTTATAATAACAAAAAAATAAAACTCGGACAAATTGGCAAAACGAATATATAACGTTTTTCTAAGGGGGAGTTCATATGTATGAAAAACATTCTGTCTGGGAGAGAAAAACAACAATAATTTAGTATAATGTTGTTGATGTGTTTGACTTAGATGCGATAATCTTAAGAGCGATTTTTACATATAGAAAAGTTGACAGAACAAAAAACAAGGTAAAAAGATTTCTCACCTTGCATGTGTCTGATGCATGTTAATAATTAAATTATATAATAAATATGTAATTATTGTGTTAACAGTGAAATTGTATAATAAATATGTAATTATTTTTTGATTGTTGTGCTAAAAGTAAATGACTTTTTATCTGGCCTTTTTCTATAACGTGATTTTTTTGCCAATACATTTTCCTATCTACTGGAACAAATATGTCGCTGTGGTCTTTTTTTGATCTCAGACACAGACACATTTTTTTTGTTGATCTCACATTTTTTTGATCTCACACTTTTTTGATCTCACATTTTTTTGTTTGATCTCAGACACAGACACATTTTTTTCCATAGTTTTTGCTAGTTTTATTTATAGCTTAGTTGTTCTTAAAATTTTTAGTTTAGAATTCGAATTTTTACAATTGCAATATGATAAAAAATAAGATATTTATAGAGTATGAAATTAATTTAACCCTGTCTTTCCCAATGTTGCCATTTGGCAACACAAACTTTATATTCAAAAATCAAGCCCTGTTTTATCTATTTATAATAACTTATAATAACGAAACTATAATAATTTATAGTATTATTATAGTTTCGAAGTTATCTATTTTTGATTAAATTAAAAATAATTTTTTTCAGCGCATTTTTAAAATGTTAAAAACTGTGGTCAAATCGTCAAAATAAAGTATTGTTTGCTTGGTCATATAATGGCGTGCGATCGCACGCCTTCCTGACCAAGCCTGATATAGTAGTGTTCTAAATAAAATGAAAATATTTAAAAGTTGAAGCAATTATTTATAGACGGATATCCTTTCTAGAGTAGCCTGTTTTGCAGATTAGGACCTCAGCTAAACTGTCTTTTCTGCCCCATATGAAAGCGATTTTACAGAATCATTATTAGAAAGCTCTTTCAATTTAAAAGTTTCTAATAGGATGATTACACTTAGATTTGTTAGAATCTGCTATTCTAATATAAAGATTTTAGACAGACAAGTTATTTTTATTTTTTATTTATTTTTTATTTAATTTTACTTTATGTAAAATTTTCAGTATTAAAAAGAACAACTTTTTCATCTTGGATCATCCTGGAAAATCATCCTGGAAAATGGATAAAAGCCTCTAATATTCTAATCATCCTGGAAAACGGATAAAAGCTTCTAATAAGTTTATTAATCATCGGTTTTCTACATTTTGTTTTGCAGACATTAAGATTTCAGCTGGTATAACCCATCTAAATCTTCATTTGAAGTCAAAGAAACACAAAGAAAATACAAAATTACAGTCTAAATTTGCTAGCTAGATCACAGTCTAAATTAGTAACAAGTTTAAATGGTTTAGCTCTAAAGCTATTCACAAAAAGCATAGCATTAAATGCCCAAGAACAATTAGTTATGGCTGACATTGTACATTGTTTAGGCATTATTAATTCAAACTGTGCACTTGCTGCAGCTGATAGTGACTATGCTAAATATAAGAGTATGTTTCCAGATTCTAAAATTGCTAAAGCATACCAAAAATTGGATAAACTGGAATATATAATTCAGATCAGAATAGCACTTTGTATTCAAAACGTTATTTAAAATGAGTTGAAATGTTTATCTTTTAACATTCCAAGTTGATGAAAAATCTGCATTACAGAATATTAAAAGATAAAAATTTAAAAAGAATTTAAATGTTCATCTTTCAAATTCTAATTTAATAAAACCACTGTATTATAAATAATTAAAACAATATAATGCTTACAAATAAAACAATATAATGCCAAATACCATTCAAATAATTTACAGCAAATCATAACATTGTACTTACAGACATATTGTACTGTGGAAGATCATTTTAAAAAGTTGTTAGGGAAAATGCAGCTACAACAATTCTTTCCATTAGTAGGAATGGTATCAATGTCAATAAATTATTTTTAAAAAAAGTTAGAAAATGATTAAAAAAAAAGTTTATTATTCATCATTATGTCCACTTCATACAATTTCCAATGCTTTTTTTGGTAGGTTTGAAAGAATTGATTTCTGAGGACATTGGTTTGGACCAATAAGTATTTGATTTACACATTTTTTTTTTAATTTTCTGGAAAAATACTTAGAAGAATATTTTGTTGTGAAATAATCATTCACTGAGCTGACAATGACAATGGCTGTTAAGACATGTCTTTACTTATTGTATAAGCAATATATATGAATGAGAATAATGGAGTTTGAAAACTTGTGAGAATACATTTTAAAAGATCTACCAAATCAAAAAGAGTTTAATGTTAAAACAGATATTACAACAACTGAAAGGTAAATGCGTATCTAGAAAGTACAAGTGTATATTTTTATTGCTTATGATTTTAAAGGCTTCACAGTTGCATTATAAGCAAAACACCCAATGATTACAGTCCTGTTTTTAAAGATACAGAAACTTCCTAATGGTTTGCTCTTAAGGTTTATTATTAATGGGTTTTTTTTTTTCAACATCTTTGCTTCCAACAAGTCTGCAAGCAACCACTAGAAGATACTGGAGGAGAAAAGATGAAGTTTATAGAGCAAGATAACAATTGTCAGACGACTTCAAATATAGCAAATTATATGAATCAGGAAAGCAAGATGAACTAAGCAAATTCCAAAGAACCTGATGTTCAAGGAAAAAAACTAGACAAATAAACGTTTTTAGAGCACATAGGAACAGTCACAGAAAAAGGATGAGACTTAATTGAATGACAAGTAACACAAGAATGAAAATTAGCCAACAAAAAGTAAAATTGGGACAGAAACTTGTACAAAAACTAAGCACATAGTTGGATATAGAATTTAGAAAGAAAAGAAAGCTATAGTTAAAATGAAATGTTTAAAAAGAATGTTTAAAGTTGAAAAAAAGTTAATAACAATGCAATTATGTTTTATATATCATTTTTTTGTTTACATGAGTTTTTGAAATTTGATACTATCACTTATTCACAAAGCATTATATTTGTTTCTTTTATTTATTTATTTTTTCATGTTTATATTCTTTTTAATATTTTTTCTTGTTACATTTGGTTTATATACATGGTATATATACATTTTTATTGTTTATAAAATGTGTTTATGTTTTCATTTACAGTTTAAAGAAATATATTTTTGTAATATTATAGCTATTTCCAAAAAAAAAAATCCTTTTTTTTTTATAAAAAATTTTCTGTATTTTTCCAATGACCCTGTGGGAACCCTTATATATATTTTATATATATATATATATATATATATATATATATATATATATATATATATATATATATATATATATATATATATATATATATA